CCATAAGAGATCAAAAGGGCAGCATTTGCCCATGGGTAAAGCTCAGAAATCAGGAAGGCATAGGAAAAAAGGACAAATGGAAATAGTAAACACAGGGAGGAAGTAGAAAGGTGCTTTTACACTGTGGGGATTGCAATCAATGTCACAAAACAACATGGGTATGAATTGCTGAATGGAAAACCAATTTTCTTTGTAATCTTTCACCCAAATCACAATAAAAAGTTAAAAGAAAACCCTAAGGAGCACAGCTCTACCCTGACACACATAGGGTTACCACAAATTGCTATCAACTCACCGACAACTGGTACTGGTTTGCACGTATCTCAATAAAACATTTTTTAAAAGAGGAAGAAAAATTAAAAAATAAGAAACATCCTCCTAGGCAGTAGTTTTTAGGTCTGGCTGGACATTACAATCACTTCGGGAATTTTCAACTATACCAATGCCTGGTCCCATCCCCAGAGTTTGATACTGGCCTGGGGTGGGGCCTGGGCATTATTTTTTTAAGTTCTATAGGTTGTTCCAATGTGCAGCTCATGCTGAAAACTGCACTGGGGTAACATGACAGATTAAGTGAGGATCTTAAACCAAATAAAAAATAAATTAAACCCCCAAATAAAGAATATAGGCCTCTGTCCTCCAGGTACATTGGTCTGATTGACAACACATAGCCACTGCTCTAAGGATGACTCTATTTTATGCCTCAGTTTGCTCATTCGTAAAATGGAGGTAACAGGTAACAGCACCTACTTTATAGTGTTGTTGCAAGGATTAAACAAGGTGATATGTATAAAGTGCTTCAAATAGGGCCTGGCCACAGCAATTGCTACATAAGTATTAGCTATTGTTATTACTTTCTTTAGTACTATTAACCAAAAAGCAAAACCAAACTCACTCCCACCAAGTCAATTCAGACTCATAGTGACCCCCTCTGGGTTTCCAAGGCAGTAAATCTTTACGGAAGTAGATTGCCCAGTCTTTCTTCCATGGAGTTGCTGGTGGGTTGAAATGCCAACTTTCTTCTGGTCAGCAGTCAAATGCCTCAGGCACTATGCCACCAGAGCTCCTTTTACTACTATTACTGATATTATTATTACTTTCACTATTATGAGCCCCTGTTGTTGTTGTTGTTATGTGCTGTCGAGTCAGACCCAACTCATAGCTACCCCTCCTTGGGTCTCCGAGGCAGTATCACTATGGAAGTAGATTGCCCAACCTTCCTTCTGAGGAGTGGCTGGTGGGTTTGAACCACCAGCCTTCTGGTTAGCAGTCAAGTGCCTTAGTGATTAAGTGCTCAGCTATGAGCCGAAAGACTGGTAGTTCAAACCCACCCAGAGACACCTCAGAAGACACACCTGGCAATCTGCTTCCGAAAAGTCACAGTCTTGAAAATCCCAAGAAGCAATTCTACTCTGTACACCTGGGATCACCATGAGTCGTTATCAACTTGATGGTAACTAACAATAACCATAAAGTACTACTTTTGGTATTATTATGAGACCAGACCTCAACTCTCAGTGAAAATTATCTATTGGAGGCGATAAACTCTAAGCTCTTACATGGCTCTAGTCTGATGGAAGAGAAGGGCTTCTGTCTCAGTCTGATAGAAGAGACGGGCCCTCTATCCCCAGAGGGAGACTGAGCAGGATAAACCTACCTGTAGAGCAGCAGCTTGTTGAGACAAGCATTGATAAGCAGTGAGGGGTCCCGAGCCTCACGGCTAACCCAGGAACGGGCAGAGATGCTGGTCACAGGGCTACCCTCGTGTACCACCAGACGCTTGGCTTTGGTCAGCTTCCCTGAAGCAATGAGGGGAAGGGAGCAAAGGTAAGGGTGAAGGCTACGCACTAAGAGAACAGGAGGGTGAACCACCAACTGCAGGCTTATTGCCTACTTACCTGTGGCCATGTCGAAGAGGAAGGAGAAAACACTGCCACGGTCATCACCCGCCCAGAGCAGCCGGCCAGGGGCATCAAAGGACAGAGCAAGGACACGGCCTGTCAGTTTGCTGGAGCCACCCTTCACTTTCTTGCCCGTGGAGATATTCATGACGTGAACATTGTGTTTGGCATTCCCCACCTATGGATGAGACCCATACAGCATCATCTTGTTCCCAGCCAATCTCACCCTGAATCTGACTACAGTGGGGCTGCTGCTGATGGGAGTGAAAAGGCCAGTGGTCCATAATTCTATTGCTCACTGGTCCCTAGTAGAGTCTAATCACAGTGGAACTGCAGTAGATAGACTAAAAGGTGATTGAGGCCTGTAATCCTCCTCCCTAGGCAGTCCCTCTTACGATCTGACCAAACTACAACACCTCCTCATGAGATTAAAGGGGTCTCAGACTTATAATGCTGACCCTTGCCCAATTCCCTCTGTGGTCTAAACACCACAGGGCTGTCCCAGACCTTTTATATGATAGTGTTCTCTTGCTTCCTGGAGCCTTGACTACAAGGGGGTTGCTGCTACTGCTGAAATTAAGAGAGTCTTACACTATAAGCTCATTCTTGGTCAGTTCCCCCTGTATTTTACACCCTCAGGGCCATGTCAGATTTTTAATTTTCATTCCTTGCTCTCTGACCAATTTATTCTAGAGTCTGACCCCAGCAGGGCTGCTGCTGCTAAGACCAGAGAAGGTCTCTGACTCAATCCTGTTCCCCAACCAATAACGTCTGAAGTTGAAAAACAGTTCCAACTGCTGCACAAAGTGGGTATTCCAGGCTCATAAGCTATCCACTGTCTATTCTTCCACCCTGGAATCTACCACAGTGGGATCTTCCCAGACTAATAATCATGCCCCCCTGTGCTCTGACCTGTTTCTAAGTCTGACCATATAGGACTGTTACCAATAGGACTAAAGGGGTCTTAGACCTACAGTCCTGCTCCTAGATGGTATGCCTTATACTCTGATTCCTGCGGACAGCCCAAGACACCATGCTAACACAGAATTCCCGCCCTTAGTGACTGGTCCCCCTGGAGTCTGACCACAGTGAGGTTGTTGTTGACAGGCTGGAAGGTACAGCAGAGTAGTCCAGCGCCATCAGGGTCAGGGATCTCACGGATGCAGCGGCCATCCTCAGAGGCCCAGATACGCATGGTCCCATCGAGTGAGGTGGACACGAGGATGTCATTGGAGAGGGACCAAGCAAAGTCGGAGACACCACGGGTGTGGCCTCGCAGCACACGGAGCACGGTGGGTGGGGCGGGCACCAGCTGGCACAATGAGATACTGCCATCCAGTGAGCAGCAGGCTAGGCGGTGCCGGTCATCATTGGCAAAGCGCACCCTTGGAACTGCAATGCCAAGGAGTTATTTGTGGGAGTCAGCACACTCACTGGATGCTTTAGTTTATAAAAGGGCCCAATGTGTGTGCTATGCCTGGGGCCCACTGCACAAAGTAAAATGGCCTCAGCAAAGGGGTTTTCCTTGGCTGATAAAGGGAGTTGTAACCCCCCAAGGCCCTCTGCCCAAAGCTCCCTATATTATGGCAGGTACATTATGAATTGCAAAAGGTTTTGACAATGTGGAAAAGCTCCTACATCTTAGCACCAAAAACCAAAACAAACCCATTTCCATCAGGTCAATGCCAACTCATAGTGACTCTATAGGACAGAAGCGAATTGTCCCATAGGATTTCCAAGGCTGAAATCTTGGAAGCATACTGACACATCTTTCTCCCTTGGAGTGGCTAGCACTGACCTTTTGGTTAGCAAACAAGTGCTTAACCACAGCAGCAGCATTAAGTACTTCATAAAGGTGTTGGCAGCTTGCAAAACTCCTGACACTCTGTAACCCACTCTGCCTTTTATAAGACAATTTATCCTCAGCAAAGACTTTGAACTCTTCCAAGTAACTCACAGACCCAGGAAACCCTTTGCAAAGTACTCTTTCAAGCTTCTGAGGCACTTTACAGTATACAGTACACAAGTTCAAATTGAAGCTGAAAAATATTAAAACAAGCCCATGAAAGCCAAAGTACAACCTTGAAAATAACTCATCTGAATTCAGAGACCATCTCAAAAATAGATTCAACACATTGAACACCAATGACCAGACAAGTTGTAGGATGATATCAAGGAAATCACACATGAAGAAAACAAAAGGCCATTAAAAAGACAGGAAAGAAAAAGAAATGGACATCAGGAAAGATTCTGAAACTTCCTCTTGCATGTAGAGCAGCTACAGTGAATGGAAGAAACATGCAATAAAAGAGCTGAACAGAAAATTTCAAAGGGTGGATCAAGAAGAAAAAGTAAAGCATTATAATGAAATGCGCAAAGACCTAAAGTTAGAAAAACCAAAATGGAAGAACACGCTCAGTATTTCTCAAGCTGAAAGAACTGAAGAAAAAATTGAAGCCTCGAGTTGCAATAGTGAGAGATTTTATGGGCAAAATATTGAATGATGCAGGAAACATCAAGAGAAGATGGCAGGAATACACAGAGTCACTGTCCCAAAAAGAACTGATCCACGTTCAACCATTTGTGGAGGCAGCATATGATGAAGAACTGATGGTACTAAAGGGAGAAGTCCAAGCTGCACTGAAGGAACTGGCAAAAAAGCAAGGCTCCAGGAATTGACAGAATACCCATTGAGATGTTTCAACAAATGGATGCAATGTTGGAAGCGCTCACTCGTCTATGCCAAGAAAAAAAGAGGAAGAACCTCAACAAGATGGATTGACACAGTGGCTGTACCAATAGACTCAAACACAGCAACAATTATGAGGATGGGGCAGGACTGGGCAGTGTTTTGTTCTGTTGTACATAATGTCACTATCAGTCAGAATTGACTTGATTGCACCTAAAGATAACAACACGGTATACAAAGGACCCGAGATTTTGTAGATCACTTTGCAGAGGGCTTTTCAATTTGCAAAAGGCTTTATGGTTTGTAATTCCTTCTTCTGAGATGTATCAGAAGATTTACATTTCAGAAAAGGATGCATTGAATAGCTGCCAGTTTGGGCAAAAAACTGGTGATAGGACCGCCACCCACTGGCTCACCTGCCTCATCCACGTGCTGGTCAAAGACATGGTACATGCCGGCAAAGGCGTAGTTCTCACTCAGTGACGTGTCCCCAGCCATGGCCCGACTTGCCTCTGCTGCCGATGTGGGCACCACACTGCCAGGGGGCCTGGGCCCCAACAGTAATGGAGGATAACATGAGGTAGGTACAAGTGTATGACCTGCCATTGCACAATGGCCCCTTCTCCACCTCATAAGCCCCTTGCTCCTTAGCCACCTCTAGTACCTACCTGTCCTCGTAGACAGCACGATTCATCTGTGCCTGCAGCTGGTAGGAACCACGGCTGACAGAACGGCGGTGCCCTCGGGCCCCCAGAGCTCGGGGATCATCCTCAAAGTCCTACGAACAGAGATCAGGTTGGAAGAATCTTGAAAACAGCTCTCAAGGCCCTATGCCTTTAAAATATACTCAGAACCACAATGGTCCTATAAGTTTATGTGAATGATCAGAATTCCCAGGTGTATAGTAGAGCTGACAAGGGGCAAGGTTGTTGTCACTGCTTGGTCACAGCCAGCTACCCAGAGCAACTGAGTAGTTGAACCTGCGGGCTTGGGACCATAGTCACAGGGGATATCAAGCTCAACTGGTACAACATACTATACAAAACATTATTCCACCTCCTACTTTGGCGAGTAGCGACTGAGATCTTAAAAGCTAGCAAGTTGCCATCTAGATGCAACGATGGGTCTCTCCTTGTCAAGAAAAAAGAAGAAAACCAAAATTAATGGAAACAATCAGTCCTAGCGACTGGTACACCATCAGATCTCAACCTATACAACTATGAGATCAGAAAAACTAGATGGTGCCCGGCTACCACTGTCATCCACACTTGGAAGGGATGTAGGAGATCCTGCATATAGAGGGAGAACAATGTAGAACAAAACTCAAAATCATTTGGAGGGGGAAAAAAAAAAGGTGGGGACCAGATTTGCTGGTCCAATAGAGCCTGGTGGAACCACTGAGACTATGGACCCTAGCTGCCCTTCAGGTCTGGAATTGAGCCCACACCTGTGGTTTCCAGCCAAACAAAGTACAGG